ATCATTTTAATCTAAGTTGCTACTGAATTTTAGATGGGGATCCAGTGAGATGAGGGAGGTGTCACATCAGAAAGGATCTCTTTGGAGAGACTTGTAATAGGCCATTGGGAGAGCCCTTGTTGGGACCCTTCATGGTCTCCTACCTCTCACACGAAATCAGAAGTAGAAGCTAAAGAGCAGCAGTGTTTGGACTTTCTAATTCAACACTGTCTTCCCATGACTGAGGCCAAAATTCTTCTGTGGGACAAATCCCTCCAAACACAATGGTTTCCCAGAGGTAACAAAACCATTCTGATCTTTGGAACTAGGCTGGAAGTCTTTGGAGGTCAGGCAAAGTGATTGAATAATTTGGTAACTCCTGTTTCCTAGAACTTGAAGTATGAGGGGAGGGCATTTTAATTCTTGAAGGATTTATCCCTTTCCTTCTATTTCTGGCCAGCATAAGAAAATTGAGGACAACTATCTGTTGTGGTTCCTTCAACAGGAGATGTAATTTCAGTGGCAAATATCTTCAAAATAATCCTGAATAAGCTCCAACTGGGTCTCATTTTGATTATGATCAAGCAATGGACATAGCCACAATATTGGTGCTGGGAAATTCTGGGCAGTGTATGAGGCAATTTTCTTTAAACATTTTTTTTCGTGGCTAGGACATTGTTGGACTTTGTCAGATATATTTGTAGACTGATTGACTATGAGGTTACTTCAGGATAAAAACTCAAAGGTGGATTATATGGCTGCTCCTCTGTCTCATACTGTCCTGTCCCTCAATGCTTGTTACCAGCTCCTGCTCACTTTTTGCCTGTATTATACCCTGCTTCATCCTACCTATAGGAGAAAGAAAAAGTGTTGGATGTATATTAGCTGTTCTTTAAAGGATATATGTATACAAATTTTCTTTGCTTTTTACAGAAACACTGGTGGCTGTAAATGCTCTTGGGCTAGGCATTTGACAAAAAGTAGGCCAATATTTGAAAGAGCAATAATGGCCCGGTGTGGTGGTTCATGCCTGTGATTCTAGCACTCTGCTGAGGCAGGCAGATCACATGAGGTCGGAAGTTTGAGACCAGCCTGACCAACATGATAGATCTTGAATGTACTAAAAATACAAAATTAGCTAGGTGTCATAGCATAGACCTGTTGTAATCCCAGCTACTCAGGAGGCTGAGGCAGGAGAATCGCTTGCATCTGGGAGGCGGAAGTTGAAATGAGTCGAGATCATGCCATTGCACTCGAGCCTGGGCAACAAGAGCGAAACTCCATCTCAAAACAAAACAAAACAATGACTGAGAAGCATCTTGTTAGATGGTACTTTCTTACTATCTCTCAAAAATGAAATAAGACCACCCATATGACAAGATCTCAATCTTTCTCGATACCTTCCTCTTTCTCCTGAATCGGCTAATTCAGTTTCTGTGACCTAAGAGATGGATAGAATTGTGGTTGAGAATGTTTCTTTTGAGTGTTGGAATTGTTTTGTCCACTCACCAACTGCACAGGAAAGTTACTAGATAGTCGAAAAGTCACTTTTAACATCTGTAAAATGGGAATAGTACTGCTCTTTACCTTGTAATATTATGACTATTTTAAATACATAGAAAATGCTTAATAGAGTACCTAGTATATAGGAAGCCCTTAATACATACATACACACTATTTTTTATTGTGGTAAAATATACATAAAACATACCACTTTAAGCATTTTTAAATGTACAGTTCAGGGGCATTAAATACATTCACATGGCTGTGCAGCCATCAGTACCATCCATCTCGAGAAACTTTTCATCTTCCCCAAACTGAAACTCCATACCCATGAAATTGTAACTCCCCACTCCCTCTTCCTCCAGCCCCTGGAAACCAACCACCATTCTACTTTGTAATTTTGATTACTCTAGGTAATCCCTGTAAGTGGACTGTATTAGTCCATTTTCATACTGCTGTGAAGAAAAACCCAGGACTGGGTAATTTATGAAGAAAAAGAGGTTTAATGGACTCCTTAAAGGAACAGCTCCACGTGGCTTGGGAGGCCTCACAGTAGTGGTGCAAGGCAAAGGAGCAGCAAAGGCATGGCTTACTTGGCAGCAGGCGAGAAAACTTACGCAGGGGAACTCCCATTTATCAAACTATCAGGTCCCATGAGACTTACTACCATGAGAATATGGGAGAAACTGCCCCCATGATTTATTTCCACCTAGCCCCACCCTTGACATGTGGGGATTATTACAATTCAAGGTGAGATTTGGGTGGGGACACAGCCAAACCATATCATGGACCATATAATATTTGTCCTTTTGTGACTGGCTTATTTCACTTGTTACATGAATGAACCTTGAAGACATGATAGTATGTGTCGAAATTTCTTTTAAGACTGTATTTCACTTATTTCTGGCCAAGACCCAGCTTTAGCAGGGATAGTCATCTTTTCTAGACATATAAGTAATTAAGGCTTAGGATTTTAGAGTAAAATCCTAGGACCATCATTGAGTTTTTTCCATCAGTGTTCATAAAGTCACTTATAAAATAGAAAGTCAGTTATATCCTCCACTAGTTAAGATAACTCTCACTTTCTTGAAGGTAAAGAGTACTTCTATTCCAGAGAGGCAAGACAAACATAACTGTCCTCCAATATGCAGATTGAGGAAAGGAAGATTTGGGGAACAGTAGAAAAAAATTTGAAAAAGAAATATGAAACCTAGATTGAGGACAAAAATAAGAACAAGGGAAGGAGGAGAAAGACTAGATAGAACGGGGCAAGCCACTGTGACAGACTGTATTTTCCAAGGATCTCGCCAATATACATACCATCTTACATGCTCTTACAATGTGGCACTTAGATGGTTCCATCAAGAGGTAGAATCTAGTTCCCCACTTCCTCAATCTGGGCAGACCATTTATAAATGGCTTAATATGAAAGTGACTGGGTGTACCTTCTGTGCTTTGGTCAGAAAAATTACCCATTTTATTATGGACCACTAAAGACTCCCATGTGGAGAGGAACTGAGGATTCCAGCCAGCACCAACCTGCCAGCTGAGTCGGATAACTGGGAAGTGCAACTCCTAGTCCCACTCGAGCCATCCAGTTTTCAGATGAGGACAAACTCATATTAATAATTTTTTTTAATGTTCACAGATACTTAAACATGTTTATTAACATCACAGATAAGTTAATAAACATATCACTACAACCCTATGAGACACTCCAAGTGAGAACTGCCCTGCTGAGCCCTTCTCAAATTCTTGATCAACAAAGAGCAAGAGAAATAAGTAATATTGTTGCTTTTAATGCACTATATTTTGGGGTATTTTGTTAAATCGAAATTAATAACTAATATAGTTTCTCTTACCATTTACCATCACACAATGATGGAAACGAAGCAAATGTTACCTTCAGAATTTGACTCAACAGCATCTGCTGTGCACGAAGGGTCAGTGGAAAACTTTTAAAGTTTATTTCCGTAGTGACGATCACAGCAAAGTGAAAGTGAGCAGCTGATCTAGAGAATATTTAGCCTCAGGGATTTATAACCGGTGCTGTGGTTTGAATGTCTTCTGTAAAGTTTATTGCCATTAAAGTTTATTGCCATTGTAACAGTATTAAGACATACGGGATCTTTAACAGGTGATGAGGCGATGAGGGCTCCACCTTCATGAGTGGGATTAATGCTGCTGTGAACAAAGCTAGGGTCCCCTTGCCTCTGTGGCCTTCTGTCTGCCATGTGATGATGTAGCAAGAAAGTCCTTACAAGATGCGGGTGCCGTGATATTGGACTTCTCAGTTTCCAGAACTGCTAGACAATACATTTCTGTGTATAAATTGCCCATTGTCAAGTATTCTGTTACAGGAACACAAAACATACTAAGCCAGATGTTGGACCATCAGCTTCATAGACTAAAGACTAGGAAAAAATGTATAGCCATGAACTAAGCAAGGGAGAATAAATCTTGGTTAGACCAGAGATGAGATGCTTGCTATGGTGTGCTGGTATTTATTCCTAGGTCCTTATACCCAGGCCTCTACCCTCATATAGGTGCTGTAATTCAGAACAAAACCCTAATAGTGTTCCTTAAAAATGTTAGCAGCATTTGGATCTTTCTTTAAAAAAAAAAAAAGTTCCAGAATATTTCTCCATGATGGAGTATTTGATAGGAGAGAGCAATCTAATTTAATGAATGAATCCATCAGTGGCAAGGGCTTTGGCCTTGAGTGTCAAGAAATCTGGTTTCCAGCCCTGAAGTGTTTACCAACATTGCATGTGATTTTTAGCAATATCCTTGAACTTCAGCAGTTTAACTTAGATATTTTCTTCAATGTCCAAAGATTTTTGCAGCTCAATGACTGAATTAGGAGATTTTATAGTGATGAAACGTCTTCCTAGATAAATGTCTGTTCATTAAACATTGCTATACATAATGGGATACATTTCAGCAAATAATCTACAACTCTAGAGTGTATGGCATTCAGCAACACCAAAGAAATAACACAATCACATTTGTATTTAAATAGAACAGTGTTTTGCTTAAAGTGTTTTGGTTTTATGTTTATAAAATACCTGCATGCTTCATATTATTCCTTGAAAAGAATATGTACCTTGTGCTTAGTAAGAATACTAACAATTATGTTTCTATTCTGTTCCTCTAGTTGATTATTTTCAACCCATAACCTGAAGTCACCAATCTTTGTGCCCCATTCCTTGGGCAACTTACATTCGGGGAGTGTTGCTTTTGGGTAAGCCTTGTTGAGACAATGCGGGGCTGGTTGTGTGTGCATGCTGTTAGCCTTGAATGCTTGGCCAAGTTGCCTACAGTTGATTGATAGGGTACAGATGGGAGAAGAAGGAAGATAGAAATGATACTTAGTCAGATCCAGCTCTTGTGCTGAGTAGTAATAGTGTACCTGAGTGGAAATGCAAGTTGGAAATGACAGGTATTCTCCACATTACGGTACTGTGGGGATATTGCTTTACAAGCCTCCTGAAAACAAATCTGCATTGCACACCAGATGGACATGAAACCAAGATTTATTAAAATACCCTTAGCATATTTACAATGGAAACCCATGAATGCAATTCTCTGCAAATTCCCAAAAATATAATTCTATCTCTTAAGTGAATAGAGGTATCAACAGATTAGGATAAATAAAATCTATCAGAGATAGAATTTTATTGAATAGACAATTGACACTTTTCTAAGCAATGTATATTATGTACAAAAATACACTTGATAGGGTGACCAAGTACTGTCAAGGAGGAAAAATATATAATACACATGTACAAATTGGTTCCTTCACCCTTTTTAAAAATAAATACTTCATTTGGTTGCAAATGACATTTATGAACTCAACTCATGAGCATTTCTCAGCTTTGACAAAATTAAATATGCAAATTAGAAATACATTTTTAAGCAAAGGGAAAAATACCTGAATCCAATGAGATTATGCTTAAAAGTATGGAAGAGCATGTAACGTAAGGTCTCATGTCTTTAAAGTGCCTTCTCCTTTCCCAACTGTCTTAGTTACTGCCGAAAACCCTTTCAGATTGTATCTACAGATTGGTATAATAATTAAACAGAAAAGCCTATGTTTTACCAGGTTAAATGGTTGACAATTTAGGACCTGCTTACACTTTTATAGTTACTGCCGAAAACCCTTTCAGATTGTATCTACAGATTGGTATAATAATTAAACAGAAAAGCCTATGTTTTACCAGGTTAAATGGTTGACAATTTAGGACATGCTTACACTTTAAGTGCTTTCAAGAGTGTAGCAGTTACTGTTGATCTGAAAATACCACAAAGTGTCAACATCCTGATTCAGAACAGGGGTAGATGCTTGAATCATGAATAGTAGTAAGAATGGAGTGACAATAAAAAGCCTTAGGATTCAGTGTTTGCCTGCACAGCATTAAGTCAATTTGTCCAGCAGCACAAAGTTACTTCAGATTGAAAAATTTAGACTTCTGCATCATAGCTGGTGACCCGGTCTGATGTACAAACTTGTCAAAAGAATGGCCTTAGTTTAAGGTAAATCTGAGAAATTGAGAAGGCCTAGAATAACATGCCCCCCACCCCAGCCAACCTTCTTAAAGTAGAATAAAATGAAAGAGACGTATTTTCCATCTCTTTTATGGATTTTCCTTTTTGCCGAAGTGATGAGGTGATACTGACATTAACAAGAGGCAGTCACAGCAGTGTGTCTCACATGGGCTCCTTGGTGACAGCGGGGCTCCCTGTCCAAACGGCTGAGAATGGAGCACAGGGTATGAGGGGATGGAGGAGGGGCTGCGAGAGATACTCGATTGTCTGTGATGCAGAGGGGTGAAAAAATCTGGGTCTGGGAGAAATGTAAGAAATAGCCACGGAATATGAAGGAAAAGGAGACTGAAACAAATATTGAAAGGAGAAAAGCAAAACGAAGCTAGACATCAAAATGACTTTTGAACAGGCATGCAGTAAACAGGGTTTATGGACGAGCAGCCCCATGGATTTGAAACTGTCGGCGCTGTTAAACCAAGTACAGACCAGTTTAACTGGGGTACCTGCTTTTCCAGTACTGTCTGGCACTGATAAACACAAGATCATGGGCACTCATATTTGCCTAACAGATACCTTCAATTTCCATTGAAAAGCTGCCCATGATATGACCATGCCCCCAAATCACCAGCTCTCTAACAATGTAATCTATCAGCAAAACATTGCATTAGGCTCGTTCACATTTTTCTCCTCCATCCATCCTTTTATTCTTGGTCATCCCATTGCTTGCAACCTCACAAGGCCCCAGTTACATGAAGACATGTAACTGCACGGATCAAATGCACTTTAGACAGCAGCATCCAGGGTCCAGGGTGTCACTAAGAAAACTAAACTCTAAAGCACTTTGTGAAGTAATTTACATTTCTGCTAGGTCCGATTCATACTAGGATGCTGACTGCCCTCACTTAGGTTCCGGGCATGCGGGACAGTGCTTATTCCCAAGCCAAAGCACGATCCCCGAAATCAAAGTCCAAGGACATCGACTTGGCATGCTAGTCTAAATTAAAACTTTTAAAACTCGATGAAAGGAAAAGACTAATACAAATCAGTAATATGTTTTCTCTAAAAATTCATAAAAATTCTAATTTTAAAAGTTTCTGCCTTTTTAGAAGTATTTTTAGATTGGTTCTTTAAGGGAAGTCCTTTTTCTTAAAGCTTACACACTGAATATTAGACATCTAGCTGACAGTAGGGTCATTATGCCTTGGGAAATTATAGAATTATAAAATTAATAGTTTTGGAGTAGACTTATCCCTTAGCTAGATCCCTAAAACTTACTTGTGTCATTATAAGCAAACAGGAAAATTGTTACTAGACTTTCCCTCTGGCTCACGGATTTATCAATGGAAAAGGAAGCCTTTCAAAGATTATGCAGAACACAATCTCGGAGGGGCTGAGCTACCCTCTTCATGCCTTGTGGTCCGATGCATGAAGAAATGAGATTTTATCTAGAGACAAGTTAGCATGAAGAGAAGAAAAAGATTTACAGTTCACAAAAACATCTTAAGTGTAAAGATTTAAAATGTCCTTTTAGTCCTTTAATGGGAAGAGCAGTATAATTTCTGTATGCTATAAATTCCTTTTTATACATCTCCTATAAAGAAATCTGGAATTCAAAATCCATACTAAGAGTTGGCAGAGAGTTAATCCGGGAAGACTTAGCCATGAGGAGGTAGAGAGTAATTTCCCTAGATACCCAGTCGTCTATGGGACTAACCTTTCATTTTGGAAAGATGGACCTGGAAAGCTAACCCAGCTGAACAATCAAAGTCGTTTGTTTCATGAGATGAAAGTGGAAGAAAGCCCCTGAAGAAATCAATGAAGGAAAGTAGGTACAACTTTGACAGGGACATTAACAAACCATTGCTAATGTGTGCTTGACAACATTTGAGTTCCTTCTTGATATACTAAGTATTAGATAATGCATTGGCAGCTCATACTATAAAGATAAATAATCATTTAAGACATTCTCATAGTTTCAAAGGCAGAGAACCTCTCACTGCACAGCTAGAGTTTAGGAAAATGTTCAGCCCGTGTGAGAGCTACAGGTGGTAGAGGGAGGTTGTTGAATCCAGGCCAGATTCTTTGGATGTGATTTTCTGCCTGAAAACTGTAGTCTACTTTGTATTTTGCTGGCCCAGTGTTAGCAAGTTTAGCACAAAGCTTGGAAAAACAGCCAATAAATGTAGTTAGATCAGCCTCTAGAAAAGGAGACAGAAGATTCTCAGTATATTTAAGAGAAGATTTAAAAACGGAAAATTACATAAGCTTAGAGGCAATGTAGAAAAATAGATGGCTGTATGTACCACTTTCGTATAAAAATGGAATTAAAGTCAATCATCTTCCCTAGATCAAGTACTTCAGAGATATAAAATAAAGTCTGGAGTTCATGTGAGCTACTGACTGAAGGAAACTATCCTACTGGAGAAGAGAAGGATAAGAGAGAAGGTCTTCTATGCCCCTGGTTATCACCAGAGTAGTCCGGAGAAGGGCTAGGGATAGAGGAGGAAATGAGTTCAGTAAGTTCCACTGGACAGCAGGCCTACTGAATGAGGCTTAATTTGCCACCCTCATCTTTCCATTGGTAGAAACAGCATAGTGGCTCAAGAGACAGTTAGCTGGCTGCCATTTTAATATCTTCATGTTTCCAAATCAGTTGTTTACTACACAAGTTTCCCAAATGCTAACTTTCTATCACATTATTGGTTAAAGAGTTTTGGAACAAATAAGGCTACTGAATTGGCTTTAAATTTAACATGTTAAAATTCTCTTAAATTTATCACTTTCCAACAAAGCATTGATCTGGAAGAGTTTGGTAGACTGCCCATTCCTTGGGAAAGGGAGATGAAGAATTAAACAAAAATGCAGCGCCTCTAAGAAGGTGTCAACAGCTGATGAGTGTGCAGAAGTGACACAAAATGGGCTTCTCGGTCACATACAGCTGTGTAACTGAGCCTGGCTATGCCTGGATTCAATTGCTAATGGACATAGGAATATCATGTAAGTTTAAAGAAGATCTGCTGAGTCCAGTATTCAAGGGTGCTTTTTTTTAAAGCTGCTTCCATACTAATAAGTTTCCAGGCAGCTGGATTGTTTCTATAGCTGGAAAATGGAAATACATCAAGCAAGTTATTTGCATTCTGGAAAGGCTAAAAATCACGCACTTTTCAAATCCTGTCAGCTTGGCCACATAGACTGGTTCCATCTGTTGCAGGTTTCTTTATGAAGACAAAGCAGATATGAATGAAAGTCCATTTCTTTATTCTCTCCACCCTCTTCAGTTGTAGGGTCCCTAAAGGTAATATAACTACTATAAAAAATATAAAAAGCAGCTTTTTCTTTCCTCTCCACTTTTCGGCCATTTCTTTCCCTGATTAGAACGGACAGGATTTTAAAAAAAGCTCAAATATACCTGATGCTTCTATATAGCAATTTAAAAAGGCAATTTAAACTACTTTAAGAAATCAGATATTTGATACATGGATCGATACATGGGAGGGGGGAGGGGGAAGGCTATTTCTGGACTTCTTCCTTCTCTTTGCCATATAAAGCTCCAAATTGATTCTTTATTGTTTTCGTGGGAGGAGGCGAGTATTAGAAAACTGACCAATTTATTATGTCACGGAATGAAGAGCTTCCCCTGTCAATGTTACAGCCTGATTCCTGGGAAAAAGAGCCTGCAGGTGTGCATTGCTAACCACCCTTCACAAACGGACTTGGTGCAGTTTGCTGTGCTATTGTATGCAATGATCTGCATCAATCAACTGGCCAAGGGAGAAGCAGAAATAGAAATGTGGACACATAACATTCAAGAAAGGAAAAATATAATTAAAACGAAAATTTCTCTGTTGCAGACAGCATCATGCAGAGGGAATACGCTATCCCAGGCCAACAGGCAAATCTTTGCCCCAAATATACCTTTCTTCTGCTACATCTCACTGTGGCCCTTAGAAAAAAAAGAATGACTTAACTTACCAGAGGTGTTATTTTTACAAACATGTTATGTTCCTTCCTTCAGTTTTTCGATTTTCTTTACCAGCAGTATATGAACTTTTCATTTAGGAAGCACCATTCTGTGTGGTACTTAAGAAACCAAGAGGTACCTGAAGGAGGCTAAGAGGTTCCCAGCTTCTACTGTCCTCGAAAGGAGAAGGGAGGGGAGACCAGCATGCCCTCTGATACTCAATTCCTCAACCATACTGGCAACTTGTTTTGGCTAGAATATGTAAAACTGTAATAGCACCACTGGGTTTCCTTATTCTACTGCTTAGATTTCAGAAAATCTTTCTCCATAATTCCTGAGTAGTTGCAGTGAGCGTGTAGAAAGACACCATCATCAGCATAAGGATTCAAAAGGCAACTGTTGGACAGTAGGGCAATCACCTGTGACCTCTGGGCCTCCACTGCCGTCATATACATCCACTTCTGCTTGGCCACACTTTGTCTTGTTCCTTTTCCCCCATAAGCTGCTGCTTCTTGAGGTAAGAGCCATAAGCTGGTTTTTGATACTTGAAGGGTCTGATGCTTTTTACCTAACATGTCTATAGTATATTTTATGATATATTCTGTGTAATTTATGGAACTTATGATATTGTATGCTCTGATACTTATTGTCAATTGCTCATGCAAGAATCTGAACTGTCACATTGTGTCCTTGGATTTAGTGAATTTTGTCTAGGAAGAGACAGTGTTGTAAGTTAAGGGTTCTCAGAGTTACCAGTAAGTCACGTGTGAGTGTCTGGTTAGACAGCATAGCAATACTGGCTACTCTGCTTTGTAGTTCAGGAAGGGCTATGCCTACAACAGCCACATAAAGCCTGCTGGCTGGATGTGCTCAAGTTGCCAAATGGCCTCCTGATCACCTATTCTCCAGGGAAAGTTCAGACACTCCTGTTGCACTGAACACAAGCTCAACAGCATTTTACAGGGATCATTTTCAAGGACTCCAGATTATTTTAAATGAACTTCTTTGAACAAACCATCATTGACCTTTACTGAGCATCAACTTGAGTTAAAAATGAAGGCTGTGTCAACAATGTGGTACACTGGTGGACTTCGGTGGGGGGGGGCATCCCAGGGTTCAAATTAGTTGAGAATAATGAAGATTTTGCCATGTTAGTCTTAAAACACTACATTAATACATTGACTAGTGTGACAAAACCACTAGATTTCCTTAACTGAGGCAGGCAAATCTTGCTTTGTAGAAATAGGCATTTTACTGCCAAGTTTTAGTCTGTTCACTAGGATGAACTCCAATTAAGTGCTTTTACTCATTCTTCAGCACTGGCCCTGGAACATGGGCCACAGTAACAGCCTTGCTTACCATTAGTGATTTCTCATGAGCATCCTATTTGGAGACTGAAGTGGACTGCAGTGACTCCACTGCAAACCACCTGCTGCTCTCATCAGCCTACCAGGATTTAGACTTCTGCGGGAGCCACAGAACTCAGAGCTGATTTCTATGGCATGGGTAACACGGGCACTTTTCTTGTGCATAACACTAGAAGGAGCACAGGATGGCTACGAGTGGAATTAGTTTTTAATTGATCAGTTCTTTTGGGTGTCTTCGGAGTTGTGAAAACCAAGAAACTAAGAAAGCAGTATAAAAAGCTTCTTGCTCACAAGCAACTTCAAGCCTTTTTAGTCATGGATGTTCCTTCTCAGCTTTGCTATTTTGCTCGTCTCACTGCTTTATTTCAAATTTAAAAAATCCAACCATGTTACCATATTCCTTTCAGTTGAACCAGTAGAAAAGGTGGTTAGCACCTGTATGAATATGGCTTGTATGACTTGATTTGATCCTGATTGCACTTCATTCCGGAGGCTGACATTAGATTAGGATATGGTGCTGCTTTCGTTACTGGATCTATTGCAGGAGCACTCCTGAGGGGCTGCTGGCTGGCAGGCATATCCTGGGAAGATGCTCAGGCACCTGGCAAGTCGAAGGGTTCTGGAAAGATGGTGGAGCAAGGGGCAGGCCACATGTGGTGGCTGGATCAGGAAGGAATGTAAGATTCTTGCTCATCTCTGGACAGTCCTCTACCAATTGGAGGAGAAAGCTCGGACCTCTACTTCAAGGCCTAAAAATGAGTCTGATCATATTCTCAATTCATCTCCAGTCCTCTTTCTTCACTCCTCAAAAGATAAATTCAGAGAGGTGGCTTAAGGACAACATCGTCAGAGAGGTCCAACGTGGTTTCCCCATGTGACTCTAGCCAGGGTCAGATAAAGCTGCCTATGAATAACCAACTTGGAGTTTCATATTGATGTAATCTTTTCATTTTAATATAAAACTTTTTTTCTGCCCTTAAGTTTTTTGACATCAGAGTCCTGCTTCATCCTACTTGACATGCCTGTCAGTCAGGGTCACGAGTGGGGGCTGTGAGTTGCATTTGCTCTCCTGTCTGGAAACTGCCTTCTAGGGATGGTGGGGGAGGTCCAGCTGCACAGTCACAGCACATGCCGTAGAACTTGGCTGCAGTTCGACACAACATTGCCCATTCATGAACGGTCCAAAATGTGAAAGGTGCTCTGGCCACTGGGTCTCTTGTCCAAGCAGGGTCTCTGACCCCAAGGCTGTGCTTGCTCAGGTATTAGTTTCTTTTGGGAGTTAGGGTGCAGAATCTCTGCTGGCCCACGAAACCATCAAAGACTGATACAGAAACAAGAATGGGCCTCACTGAATAACAGATGTCTACTCCTTGCATGATAACTTGTTCTCCAGGATGTTTATGGCTGTTTATCTCCCTTTCTCCACCCAGGTACGATTCTGTTTTCTCCTTTCCAATACATAAATAACAATCATTTTTCTAGTCTGGAAAACACATATTCTTAGACCCCTTCAAAAACGGTTTTGATAAGCTGCAACATTATTGGAGAGTAAGATGCAGGATTTTGATGCGACAGGATCAAAACTAAGACAAATAATCAAAATAGCAGTGTGTAAAGACAAAGACTTGAAATCTCCCAAGGCAACTGTCCCAAATGATTGTTTCTCTCTTCTGTAACAATGTGACTTAAATCAAGCTTTGGTTATAAACCTGGAAATGTAAGCTTTAAAAAAAATTTCAGACAATTTTGGTACTCTGGTCTTAAAACAGTGGACTTTGGGCTTCAACAAGAAATAATATTTCTGTAGTGTTCCCTTAAATAGTTTCTCACTGTTCCTGTGGCTTAATAAGGAATGTCTTAAAGAAGGCATGGGGCAGTCTGCAGGTGACGTCAGAAAGAGATGAGTAAAAAAACACTAAGTAACAAATCTCTCAAGAATGTCCTGCAGTCCTGGGGTCACACACAGCATGTGTGCAAGGTTCTCCATGGCCAGAGCTGCCATTTCCGTGTGTCTTCATATTAGTTGGTGTTCACACTGGCTTCCTTCTGACGCAGTCTTTCTTTCTGTTAATGGAAAAAAAAAAGTCATTTCTTTCATCTTAACTTTTGATAAATTTGTTAAATTTTGGTCTAGAATGCAGAGTGCAATTATGCCAAACAGCCTAGAAATATTGTTCTTCCCCTAAGCCCTCAGTTATCTGCCCCTCCCTACCTATTACCCTTAATGCCCAGAAAACAAACAAGAAATCAACAACCAGCCAATCTACCAACTACATCCATCCTAAAACGAGGGCCTCTACCAAGACAGGGTGGTCTTTTCTGTCTTCCTCCTTTGTGACAAAGACCTAAGTTCATAGTGTTACTCCAGGACTCTTTCTTCCCTACCCTTGGCCCACTGATGGAATTAGGGAATGCTCAAGAAATAGCTTTTAAGGAGTCTAGATATGAAAAAAAAAAAAAAAAAACTGTTTCCAAGTTGAATGTATTTGCAAATGATAAACTTGGCAGAACGCAACAAAAGCCGTGCAGAATGGGAGATGACCAGATCTAGTCTCTACAGAATGCGAGAAGTTCCCGATTGGCCAAGGCTGTTCTGCTCTTCTCTCAGCTTCCTCCTCGTGGACAGCCTTCTAAAGGGAGGGACGTGGGCATCTGCTGGGAAGATGTAAAAACAAACAGGAGCACACTACACAGAAACACGGACCCTCACAGTATCTGTGACACCAGGGAAGTAAACACATGAGTGTAGCAAGGATGGGTGTGCCTGCTCTTAGGGGAGGGCAAATAGAAGGCTAAAAATGAAAAGGGAGAGGAGGAGGACACGCTCGGTTGGAATGAGCAGAGGCAGAGAGAAGCCTTTCAGCATGGATCCTTAGCTGCTTGTGAGCTATGAGATGTGATGTTCCAGTGAATGACTAAATCGGCCTAGACATAAACTTAAGTTGATAATTTGTTGACACTCATCCTAAATTTGGACCCCATCCCTGACTAATTGGGCAAAATTGAATCAGAAATCTGTTTACAAGCTCTTCCTTAATTTCTACCCACCCACCCACACAGACGAGAAAAGAAGCAACTCCAAGTAAGCTCAGGATCACAGCTGGGAACTTGCTCACAGGGGAGGTAGTACACCCACCGTTGCCCTTTGGTCTACATGGGTGACCCCATTCTCCCTGCCTTGGAGGACAGGCTTGGCTGTAAAAGTCTGGATAGAGGCCCAAATAAAAGGTCTGAAGGAAGAGGTAGAAGCTGATGAAGATAAAAATCGGGGTTCAGCCAACTGCCACTGAAAATCATACAACCGGCATGTCACAAATATACTATGAAATGGGAACAGGGGCCATGTCCTCAACAATGGCTTTACCTGACCAAGCTCTATAGCCCTGATGTCTCCATTTCTCATTCATCAACCTCATGAAACATTCATTTAGCTGCTCATGGGGTGGTTATGAGAAACACCATGGTCAATCAACAGAAATAATCTCACTTTACAACTTGGATCCCACCTACGTTTTCAAAGGGGTTGAAGCATCCAGCAAAAAGGGTAATCATATCTAAAGGATAAAGTAAGTAGTTGTGGGACATCAGGCCCAGAGAGGGAGGCGTTTGAAAAATCCAAGAGGGGAGGGTGATACTTTGACTTGCTTCTCACTGCCATTCCCATTGCACCATTGCAGGGTCAACCAGAGCAGATGAAATTCACAGCAACAAGAAAAACAACTAATACTTAGCTGCTAAGGCATTTTAAAGTTTTTTCTCACTTTTCTCAAAATAACCCCAAGGGAAAAGTTAGACTACTTTTCATGGAAGAGAAAGAAACAAAATTAACTTTACTAAGGTTGTACAACTATTTAGGCACAGATCTAGGACAAAAGAAAGTAACTTTAAGACTTTTACAACTACTTAACTGGCAGAGATGTGATCTGAACCCAATTTTCCTTCTCAACATCCTGGGATCCTAACCGTGCAGCTATTCTGACTATTGTCTGTATCACCTAGGTGGAGATTCATTGTGATTTCTATCGAAAGCTGGACTTTGGAGGGTAGTGCAATCCCAAATCTAGGAAGACTGGGGAGACTGCTGGTTTCCAGCACGGGGAGAGATGTCGGGAGGCCCAGAATCTGGTCCTGGTTTTTGTTACCCACTTGCCAAGTGACCCTGGGTATGCTGTATCTTCCTGCACTTCAAATTTCCCAACTATCAAAATAGGAGAATTGCTGCCTTTTTCTTTAATGGGGAAAAGGAACTGAAGAGAAAGAATGTATTTAAACATTCTGAGAAAGATACTTTGCAATAAGGGTGACTGTGTTGTGGGTAGGGTATGAAAGGAGGTGAAATGGCAAGTGACTAAATGTGGCTGAGAAATGACCTATGTGGAACTTAAAGGAAAAACATAAAGCTATGTTTTGCACCTTGACCCACACACCTTTTTTTTTTTTTTTTTACCACCTGCAACTCTGGGATGGGAAATGAGAATCTAGATATTACATTTCAGCTTTGAGTTTCCCTTGAATTCAGACGCACTCCTGGATGCACTTCAATTTTAATGAAAATCATTAGGTTATGCTGAAAAATGTCTCACCAGGCTAGCAGTGGGATTGATTTTCTTTGTCTCCACTTTCTTCTCTGACGTCAACTTGCTGACTGATTCCTGAGCCATTTTCAATCTGAAATACAAATAGGGAAAAGACAGGAAGAGGGAAAAGGAAAGAAGAAAAAGGAAGGTTAAACATAAACTCAAATGCTTTTGAATTAATCTGTCAGCGATTTGAAAATACTGAAATGTTTTTTCAATACTTTTTGTTACTAAATTCAAACCCTAATTCGGTGTGAAGGCTTCTCTGCTTTATCAAAACTTAATTTTCTTCACTAGCTGAAGAGTTTTTGTGAACAATGTGATCGTTTCTGATGGATGGAATCTATGCACTCAGAGCATTGTTGACTTCAGTGTACTCTGGCTTGTGATCCACTCAGCAGGTAATGAGATTATTTTGAAAAATGATGTTCTGAGGAAATGTGAAACCACAAGTATTAAGATTCACCAATTCACATCAATTACCATGTGATATCCTAAAGAATGGGCAAAATGTTTATTTTTTGAGACAAGGTCTCAGTGTGTTGCTCAGACTGGAGTGCGGTGGCGTGATCTTGGCTCACTGTAACCTCCGCAACCAGAATGGGAAAAATATTTATATATCATATCTGATGGAGACTAGTGTCCAAAACACAAAGAACTTAAATCTCAAATAAGACAAATAGCCCCTCCTCTAAAAATAGACAAAGGATTTTAATAGACATTTTTCCAAAGCTGACATACACATGGTCAGTAAGCACATAAAAATATGTTGAACATCATTAATCATTAAGAAGTGCAAATCAAAACCACAGTGGGATGCTACTTCACATCCACTGGGATGGCTGGAATCAAAGACATAAAACAAGTACCAGAGATGAAGCTGTGAAGACATTGGAACCCTCATACACTGTTAATGTGACTGTAGAATTATACAGTTGCTTCGGAAAACAGTTGAGTAGTTTTCCAAAATGTTGAGCAGAGAATTACCATGTGACCCAGCAATTCTACTGCTAGATACATAACTATATGTATAACTAAGAAAATTGAAAACATGTCTATATAAAAATTTACATATGAATGTTTACAGACCCATTGATTATAATAGTCAAGAGTAAAAGCAACCAAATTTCCATTACCTAATAAACAAAATGTGGTATATCCATACAACATAATATAATTGAGCCATCAAAAGGAATGAATTTGCCGATACATGCTACCACATAGATATACTTCAAAAACATTGTCTAAGTGAAAAGAGCTAATCAGAAAACACATGACCCCATTTATAAGAAATGTTTAAAATACGCAAACCCATATAGAAAGCAGATTACAAAAACCATGGGTCGCACCAAGCTGGGGAAAATGGAGAGTGACTGTGAACTGGTAAAAGATTTTCTCTAAAATCAAATTGAGGTAATGGTTGTACATCCTTGTGAACATACTAAAAACCACTGTGTACTGAGTACGAATGTGTACTGAATTGTACACTTGAAAAGTGTGAGTTTTAAAATATGTAAACATTGTCTCAAAACTTAATAAAAATTCATTAATTCAACATGATAGTATTTCTTACCCATAAGGTTGGCAAATACAAACAAAATATTAACTGAGGATGTGGGGGAATGGGAAGTGCCACACTAGTGCACTAGGGAGAATAAATTGGTGTAGCTGGCTTTGACAATACCGGGTAAAACCGAAAGCATACACACACTATAAGCCATCAATTCTTCTTGTAGGGAGATACCCAAAAGAATTATAAACTGACACAGAGCTTTCACTGTGGCAATAAACGCAATTGAGAAAAACTGCAAACAACCAAATGAATGTGTTCAATAGAATAATAGACATAGGACAATAACATAACATTTACTGGGTACTTAATCTGTACCAGGTGCTGCTCTACTTACTGTATTTGAATTAAACTTAATTTTTACAACAAGTCTGTGAAAGGAACGCGTCCTATTCGCATTTTATAGGTCTTAACCACCATGCAATGTGCAATGCTGCTTATGTACTGTATTCATTCAGCAGAATAGGGTATAATGGTGAGAAGGAATGAACTAGATCCACAAATTAAACAATCACAGGTATGGGAAGCACGATACTGAGAGTGAAGAATTCTGTAGTGATAGAATGAAGAGGCCATCTATGATGACGGTAGAATTATCAGCCCTATCACTTAATAGCTGTGTGAGCCTGCCCAAGAGGCCTGTCTGGGTGCCTTATTTCCTAAGAAACACGATAGCAAAAGTGCATGATACATAGGATCAATGAGAGGACTGAGTAGGTGTCGGAGGCGCAAAGCAACTCCTTGAATAGAACCTGGGTAAAATGAGGCTGAAACCTACTGGGCTGCATTCCCAGATGGTTAAAGCATTCTAAGTCACAGGATGAGATAGGAGGTCGGCCCAAGATACTGGTCATAAAGACCTTGCTGATAAAACAGGTTCCAGTAAAGAAGCCAATAGAAAGTTATCAAAACCAAGATGGCTACGTAGTGACCTCTGGTAGTCCTCACTGCTACATTTGTGAACTGTATGTTTACTACATTTATAAACAGAGTTTACAAATGCCATGGCAACATTAGAAAGTTATCCTGTATGGTCTTAAAAAGAGGAGGCATGAATAGTCTACCCCTTAGCGTATCATCAAAAAATAACCATAAAAGTGGACAGCAAGCAGCTCTCCAACTTCTCTGCCGATGGAGTAGACATTGTTGCATTTTACTTTGCTAATAAACCTGCTTTCACTGTACTCCATGGACTCGCCCTGAATTTTTTCTTGATGAGATCCAAGAATCATCTCTTGGGGTCGGGATTGGGACCCCTTTCCTGTAACATCTTTCTGGCAACTACAGAAGGGACTATAGTGAGGAAACCCCTTAACCAAAGGCTAGCTTTGGGTAAGTGGTGGGGTCCTGAAACAGCAGTTAGCTCCAGGCAGGTGGTAATAGCTGAATAAATGTAAGCTAGTATTGTTACTTACATGCAGTATGCAACATTGTGCATATAATTTTAAACTGAACCCATACAAACACCTGTCTGTGTTTATATATGGATACATACATATAAAAGTAGTCAAAATAGACTAGACAGATACTCAATGTCACCGTAGAGGTTATTGCTAGAAAGATCTGGGAAGAGAATGACACTGGCAATAACATGCCAGGTAGAATTTCATTTTATCTGTAATACTTCATTTTTAAATTTAAAATCTTAAAGAATATGTGATGAATGTTAATAGCTACAATTCTAGGTAGTGGGAACATAGGTGTGATACATTATCCTTTGTATTTTTATTTTCAAAATTTCTTCAAAACATTAAAGATCTACCAACTCAGACATTTAAAAATACGCTTTTTCTTCCATGCTTCAAATAAAAATCTCTGGGTAAATATTAATCACATACTTTTTGGCATCCATAAGTGGCTGAGTAGCTTAGCGCTTAGCTAATGTTATACAATTTGCTTAAAACACATTTAGTAATCCCATCTCCCTGCCCACATGTGCATGTTAGTTACAATAAATTCAACTTTCTTACTTGTGCATTGGACAATAAATTCTGCTGTTGCAGTATGAAAACAGCCATCAGAAAAATACATCAATAAGTAGGCAATGCTGTATTCTAATAAATTGTATTGACAAGCACGATTAGTGTGCCAGACGTGGCTCATAGGCTGTAGTTTCCCAGTTTCTGGACTATATCACAGGATTCAAATCACATGATTTTGGATTGGCAATCCAACCTCCCCCTGTTCTAAACCAAGTTTACTTGTCTGTCCAACCTTTTCAGACCCAGATCTGTTGTATTCATAGTATTCTGGTTTAATTGGCTGAGTATCCTTGGATAAGTCACTTAAGGCCCTGCACCTCGATTTTCTCATCTCTTAAAAGTGTGAATAATACCACACCTAATAACATTGCTGCTATAAAAATTAAGGAAAAAACTATATGTGATTACTGATTAAGTATCTTTTCCTTCACCTCACACCATGTCTTCCACATGACCTATATTCTTTGTACATGGCTTTTTCTCACTTTTGCATCTTGCTTTCATTGTTCCCTCAGTGACTAAGTCATTTCCATTCATTCAAATTCTTCCCATTCTTCTATTCACAGCTTAAGTGTCAAAGTCACCACAGCTTCCTTCATCTGTTAGCCAGAAGTAATTGCTCTTTTCCTAAGTGACAAAGCACTTTGTGCCTCTCTTAAGGTACTTAAGGCGTTTCACCTTAAAATTGGGTAGGTGTCTTCTTAAACCACTGGAATGACTTGAGGACAATGAGCAGATTTATGCATATCTGGGACCGCTCCCCATCCCTTTATCCAGCACTGTGCCATACACAAGTTATTTCTTAGCAAATACCTGTGTGATAAGTGATATGCACTGATAACTTTCTTTTTCTGCCTTAAACAGTTTAAATGTTTAGTAAATACTCAAGAGTTATAAAATAATTGCTTTTTGCATTTATCCTTGGGAAAAATCTATAAAAACGCTTAGAAGTGTAGTTTTAGTTACTGATTAGCTGATTGAGTCTTAAGGAAAAAGAAAAGATGCTCAAGGTGACCCAAATTTGCTAAACATTTACACGTCATCTTATGTATATATGCCAAGATAATTAAAAGTAGCCACATTACTTTGCCCACAAGGAGACCAAGACTGAGAGGTTATTAATTTTGTCCTAAGTCTGGAATTTATTTCTCCCACTTAGGTAAGGGCTTTGGGCATTTAAAGAAAATTTGCTGGTTAGTGCATGTTCTCACTCATAAGTGGGTGTTGAACAATGAGAACACATGGACACAGGGGAACATCACACCCTGGGGTCCGCTGAGGAGTGGGGAGATTGGGGAGGGATAACACTAGTAGAAATACCTAATGTAGGTGACGGGGGTGATGGAGGCAGCAAACAACCATGGCATGTGTATACCTATCTGACAATCCTGCAAGATCTGCACATGTACCCCAGAACTTAAAATTTGCTGGTTAGACAGTTTCTAGCTACATACATGCTCAACCTCCTCATTGTTTGTGTACCTGTTTTTGTTTCTAGCCTAAATGTTGGTTCTAATGTCCCTCAGTAGACGATGGCAC